TGGAAGTGAGTTGATGCAAGTGGTTTTTATACTTAGACGTGAAGTTGGTACATGAGCAAGGTAACATTTATAAAGGGATTCCGGGAAACTGGTTAGCCTAACTTGAGTTCTGGAGGTGAAAAGTACAATGCCTGCACTCTGGAGGAGGAAAAGGATACTGCGGTGTGGAGGATCATACGAACTATGATGTTAACGTGTTTTTTGACAGGAAAGTGATTTGTACAAGTGGGTTAGAAAAATCGACAAGTTGATAATTGAGGCATTTGGGAATCTTTATTCTGGAAACTTATCTCCAGAAAATGGCTTCTTCAGTCCAGAACCGAGTAGAATGGCGGAAGATAAAGAATATCAGGTAATCAGTCCTTTGGCATTGAGTCGATGTGTTCACTCCATCAATCTTGATAAAAGTACAGCATATGCAGACAGCAGACAGACGAAGTTGAGCAGTTGTAGGCGGAATCGCCAGTAGAAATGCCACTAGTGGCAGTAGGTTAGGCAAGCTTTAAATAATTCCCTGCATCTAGATCCCAAAATGTTGGTGTGTGTTTTGGACTGAAGAAGCCACAGGCTCGCGAAAAGTATCCAGAATATAGATTCCCAAAAGTGTCCAAAGTGCCTCATTTATCAAGACAGTGACTGAACGAGTGACAGTAAAAGTTTTTTTCTTTATCGGCTCACGCACTTTAGGTTGGAGACGGCCTAAAATTGATGATATTGTTGACTTCATTTCTAATTCCAAACTTGTCTCAAGGTTGATTTGCTTTAAGGATATTTCCAATTATTTCTACCACCTTGAACTAAGGAGATCACTGTGTTCACTCTTCATAGTGATCTTTATAATTACCGTGTTCTATTGTTAGACGAGAGACTTGCCCTGCTCAACGCACTAAGCACAGAGTCACTTTGATTCTAGAGAACGTTGAATCACACTTAAATGATAAAGAAGTGTACTGTGACACCTGCGAGGAACACATGTTGACTGACACTGTTAACAGTCATCTCTAACAGTTTACCATGAATCATGCAAAGTGTGAATTAAAACAAGTTACACTTCAGTATTTAGGATTCGTAGTAGGGAAGGGCAAAGTGCATTTTGTGGAGGCAAATTTGCAGCCATTTTTAATCATGAAAAAAAGTGTCCTAAAGAAATTTTGCCATTCCTGGAAATGATTTGTTAGACACATGTGTAGCAGTTAGGTATCTTTACTGTGGAAACGTTTCGCCACGCAATGGCTTTATCAGTCCTAAACAAACAATGGTGAAGACGAGTAGTAGTTTGAGGCAATCAGTCCCTCAGCCCGTGTTGCACACGAGTCTAATTAATCAACTTGTCGGTTTTCTGAACCATTTATCTACATTCCTGGGAAAGTTTGGCTGCTGTCGCCGTGTTTGTCTTAACGACTTCCAAGTAGCAGCTCCTTTGATGGGATTTTAGGCGAACAGATGAATGCGAGAGCATTTATAAGTGATTATATCTTCCACAGTTCTATGTAGCCCGGTCATGGACCAACTCTTTGTAATTGAAGTCAGTGCCAGTGAGCTACTACTCTCTGAAACGTAAAATCATTGAGAGAGAAAGAGAAAAAGTGAGAAAGAGAAAGAAAGAGAAAGAGAAAAATGAGAGAGAAAGAGAAAGAGAGGGACCCTCCTTGGCTAGCTGCAAGAACTGTGTCAAAACTGTCAGTGGTGACAATAAGGCAGGAGGAGGTGCATTTCCTTCTTAAATCACTTGACCAAGAAAAGGCTGTGGGCCCAGACAAGTTGAGCCCAAGATTGCCTAGTACAGTGTAAATGGTCCTCTCAGTGGAAAGAGGCAAATGTAGTCCCTGTTCACAAATAGAAGAGCAGAGCAGAAATCAGCAACTACAGACCAGTGTCACTCCTGTCAATCACTGGTAAGATCCTTGAGACAATCTCAAGACAAATGACAGTTTTTTGACTACCACTCACTACTTTGTAATCGTCAATATGGCTTCAGGAAAGGTTACTCTGCTGCTGATCTGTAGTTAAACCTCTCCACTAAGTGGCACCAGTCACTGGATGAATCCAAAGTCAGCTGCGTGGTAGCACTGTACATTGCTGGTGCTTTCGACCGGGTGTGGCACCAGGGCCTCTTAGCAAAACTTCAAGCATTGGGAATTGCAGGCTCTACGCTGTGTCTCCTCTGTGATTACCTTCATGGTAGATCTCTAAGTGTAGTTCTCAATGGAACGGAATCAGCAATACATCCTATTGGGACAAGTGTTCCACAAGGAAGTGTGTTGGGACCATTGTTATGGAATGTCTAGTTCAACGACCTTCTTCATCTCATCCCAGAATCACATGCATGTGCAGACGACTGTACACTGACATTCACTTATCCAAGAGAAGAAATGCCAGCTGCTCTAAGCTACATCAATCACCAGCTAAGAGCTATATCAGCTTGGGAAAATAGATGGCAAGTAACATTTGCACCTGAGAAAACGCAAATGATGATGGTCTCTAGGCACCATGATGGTAATGCTGGTGCAGTAGTAAAGATGAATGGGAGGATGTTGGCACCTGGAGAAGTTGATATCCTTGGGGTGAAATTTGACTCCAAACTAACCATGAAGAACCGCGTTGTAAATCTTGCAAACAAGGCAGCCAGGAAGCTTACAGCACTTCGCCGTATCTCGCATCTGCTTGACAGTAGGGGTTGCAAGATCCTGTACGAGGCACAAGTACGCTCACACCTTGAGTATGCCCCACTTTCTTGGTTTGCCTGCCCCCCCTCTCATCTGCGACTGCTTGACAGAGTAGAGAACAAAGCAAGACGTCTCATCTCTCGCCTGGACCCATCCTGGATAGATCCGTCATTTCAGCAGAGCCTTCAACATAGGAGGGATGTGGGTGGCCTTACTGTTATGTACAAGGCCAATATTGTCAAAGTACCACACTTGGATCCACTTCAAGGACAGCGTGAAACAAGCTTTTATGCCACAAGACGGGCAGAAAGCAGCAACTTCACTCTGGCTGTACCCTTCTCCAGAACATCACTCCATCTGAGATCATACATACCCAGGATGACTCGAGTATGGAACACTTTCGTACAGCATAATGATGTCAACGAGATAAAGTCAGTTGATCAAATGAAAATGCTGGCCCACAGATGGCTCCAACTTCATCCTGTTCCCTACTTGTATGTCTCATAACAATAAAAATGCTTTCAAATGAGCTGATGTAGGTAACAGCTCTTAGCTTGCCAATAAAGTTAGGAATCCTTAACCTGTAAATAGCTTGTCAATAAAGCTAGGGATCCTTAACCTTGTCAAACCGTGTGTATAAATCAAGACAGACAGAGACAGAGAGAGACGGAGAAAGAAAAAGGGAAAGAAATTATGCGAGGTAAACTTTAAATGTGATACCTATTTTCAAAGCAGGTGACAGGTCCTTAGCTTCGAACTATAGACCAATAAGCCTAACCTCCATAGTGGGAAAATTTATGGAATCAATAATTGCCGAGGCAGTTCGTAGCCACCTTGAAAAGCATAAATTAATCAACGAATCTCAGCATGGTTTTACAAAGGGGCGTTCCTGCCTTAAGAATTTATTAACTTTTTTCACTAAGGTATTTGAGGAGGTAGATCATGGTAATGAATATGATATTGTGTATATGGACTTCAGTAAGGCATCTGACAGGGTCCCACATCAGAGACTATTGAGGAAAATTAAGGCACATGGAATAGGAGGAGAAATTTTTTCCTGGATAGAGGCATGGTTGACAAATAGACAGCAGAGAGTTTGCATAAATGGGGAGAAATCAGAGTGGGGAAGCGTCACGAGCGGTGTTCCACAGGGGTTAGTGTTGGGCCGCCTGCTGTTCACAATCTACATAAACGACATAGATGAGGGCATAAAGAGCGACATCAGCAAGTTTGCCGATGACACCAAAATAGGCCGTCGAATTCATTCTGACGAGGACATTAGAGCACTCCAGGAAGATTTGAATAGACTGATGCAGTGGTCGGAGAGGTGGCAGATTCCCATGTGTTGCATAAGTGTCTCAATTCTTCAACTTGTCGGTTTTCTAAACCATTCATCACAGTTTAATATAGACAAATGCAAAGTTCTAAATGTTGGACAGGACAATAACCATGCCACATATAAACTAAATAATGTAGATCTTAATAATACGGATTGCGAAAAAGATTTAGGAGTTCTGGTTAGTAGTAATCTGAAACCAAGACAGTGCATAAGTGTTCGCAATAAAGCTAATAGAATCCTTGGCTTCATATCAAGAAGCATAAATAATAGGAGTCCTCAGGTTGTTCTTCAACTCTATACATCCTTGGTTAGGCCTCATTTAGATTATGCTGCACAGTTTTAGTCACCGTATTACAGAATGGATATAAATGCTCTGGAAAATGTACAAAGGAGGATGACAAAGTTGATCCCATGTATCAGAAACCTTCCCTATGAGGATAGACTAAGGGCCCTGAATCTGCATTCTCTAGAAAGACGTAGAATTAGGGTGGATATGATTGAGGTGTATAAATGGAAGACAGAAATAAATAAAGGGGATGTAAATAGTGTGCTGAAAATATCTAGCCTAGACAGGACTCGCAGCAATGGTTTTAAGTTGGAAAATTTCAGATTCAGGAAGGATATAGGAAAGTACTGGTTTGGTAATAGAGTTGTGGATGAGTGGAACAAACTCCCAAGTACAGTTATAGAGGCCAGAACGTTGTGTAGCTTTAAAAATAGGTTGGATAAATACATGAGTGGATGTGGGTGGGTGTGAGTTGGACCTGATAGCTTGTGCTACCAGGTCGGTTGCCGTGTTCCTCCCTTAAGTCAATGTGACCTGACCTGACTAGGTTGGGTGCATTGGCTTAAGCCGGTAGGAGACTTGGACCTGCCTCGCATGGGCCAGTAGGCCTGCTGCAGCGTTCCTTCGTTCTTATGTTCTTACAATGTCCCGAATTATTTCAGCGCCATAATTGTAAATAACTTTGGTACATCAAACAGTTTACACTTACTGATGTTGATGTAGATCTGAGTCAAGTGGGATTTTAAGGTCACCAGGTCACAATATCCCTCCTTCGTGGCCACCTCAGGTCACCAGATCACAAATGTCCCTCCGTGTCCACCGTCTCAGGTCATCACGTCTCATACCTCTGGACCTTAAATTATGCCAGAAGTTATGCCAGCAACACTGACATGTGTGGACTGTATATTCGGTAATATCAATTATTTGACCCGAGTAATTTGCTTGGGTAATTTTACATAAATAAAAACGAAATGCATTAAGAAGTATAAAGAAGATTTCCATATAACTCGCCAAATTAAGATTTGGATTCATATTCTAACGCCTCCCTATCGATAGGCAATTTATATTGGCCAATATAAATTAACATACCTGTAGTGAGAATACTCTGGGAGGCGGACATTACTTATGGTGTCAACTTAGTTTCTGACGATACTCTTCTATTACACCTTAGTTGATTTCACTGGAAGATTCGGCCGATTTCCAAATTCCTTGAGAGAGCCAACACTCCCTCTCAAGACGGCTACCTGGGCATTATACCCGATTCTGTTTTCCTTTTATGACCTCTCCCTTTGGGTCAAACAGAGAGCCGAGCCCAGCTGTCAACCTTCCACACCCGTGTCACCACCACTGTCTTGCCCTCCTGCCATCCACACAACCCTCCCATGTCACCACAACTGTCTTGCCCTCCTGCCATCCACACAACCCTCCCGTGTCACCACCACTGTCTTACCTGGAGGTTACCTGGAGGTTATTCCGGGGATCAACGCCCCCGCGGCCCGGTCCATGACCAGGCCTCCCGATGGATCAGGGCCTGATCATCTAGGCTGTTACTGCTGGCCGCACGCAGTCCAACGTACGAGCCACAGCCCGGGGATCCGGCACTGACTTGAGGTATCTGTCCAGCTCTCTCTTGAAGGCAGCCAGGGGCTTATTGGCAATTCCCCTAATGCTTGATGGGAGACTGTTGAACAGTTTTGGGCCCCGGACACTTATGGTGTTTTCCCTTAGTGTACCAATGGCGCCCCTACTTTTTATTGGGGGCATTTTGCATCGCCTGCCCAGTCTTTTACTTTCGTAGGGAGTGATATCTGTGTGCAGATTTGGGACCATTCCTTCCAAGATTTTCCAAGTGTAGATTATAATATATCTCTCCCTCCTGCGTTCCAACGAGTACAAGTCAAGTGCTTCCAAGCGTTCCCAGTAGTTAAGGTGCTTGACAGAACTTATACGTGCAGTAAAGGATCTCTGTACACTCTCTAGATCTGCGATTTCACCTGCTTTGAATGGAGATGTTAATGTACAGCAGTATTCCAGCCTAGAGAGAACAAGTGATTTGAAAAGGATCATCATGGGCTTGGCATCTCTCGTTTTGAAAGTTCTCATTATCTATCCTATCATTTTCTTGCACGTGCGATCGTGGCACTGTTGTGATCCTTGAAAGTGAGATCCTCAGACATTACTACTCCCAGGTCCCTTACATTATTTTTCCGCTCTATTGTATGGCCGGAGTCAGTAGTATACTCTGTTCTAGTTATTATCTCCTCCAGTTTTCCATAACGGAGTAGTTGGAATTTGTCCTCATTGAACATCATATTGTTTACCGTTGCCCACTGGAAAACTTTGTTTATATCTTCTTGGAGGTTAACCGCGTCCTCAGCAGATGACAGCCTCATGCAGATCCTAGTATCATCCGCAAAGGATGATACGGTGCTGTGGTGTATATCTCTGTTTATGTCTGATATGAGGATAAGGAATAAGATGGGGGCGAGTACTGTGCCTTGTGGAACAGAGCTCTTCACTATGGCAGCCTCCGATTTAACTCTGTTGACCACTACTCTTTGTGTTCGATTTGTTAGGAAGTTGAGGATCCATCTCCCCACTTTCCCAGTTATTCCTTTAGCACGTATTTTATGGGCTATTACGCCATGATCGCATTTGTCAAATGCTTTTGCAAAGTCTGTGTATATTACATCTGCATTCTGATTTTCTTCCAGTGCATCCAAGGCCATGTCATAGTGATCCAGTAGTTGTGAGAGGCAGGAGCGACCTGCCCCGAACCCATGTTGCCCTGGATTGTGCAGATTTTGGGAATCCAGGTGATTTGCAATCCTGCTTCTTAGCACTCTTTCAAAGATTTTTATGATGTGGGACGTCAGAGCTATTGGTCTATAGTTCTTAGCAAATGCTTTGCTGCCACCTTTATGGAGTGGGGCTATATCCGTCGTTTTAAGTGACTCTGGAATTTCACCCATGTCCAAGCTCCTCCTCCATAGTGTACTTAGGGTACGCGAGAGGGGTTTCTTGCAGTTCTTAATGAAAACAGAGTTCCACGAGTCTGGGCCCGGGGCTGAGTGCATAGGCATGTTGTCAATGGCTTTTTCGAAATCTATCGGAGTTAGGGTAATGTCGGAAATCTGGCATACATTTATGGAGTTTTGAGGCTCATTCATGAAGAAATCATTTGGGTCGTCGATCCTCAGACCGATTAGTGGTTCACTAAACACAGAGTCGTACTGGGATTTCAATATTTCACTCATTTCCTTGTTGTCAACTGTGTAAGTCCCATCCTGTCTGAGTAAGGGCCCGATACTCGATGTGGTATTTGCCTTGTTTTTGGCATATGAAAAGAAATATTTTGAATTTCTTTCAATTTCACTAATAGCTTTAAGCTCCTCCTGCCTCTCCTGGTTCCTGTAAGAGTCATTTAACTTAAGTTCGATAGTTTCCACTTCCCTGGTCAGCGCCTCCTTTCGTGTATCAGATATTCTAGCACTCCTGAGGAGCTCAGTGACTCTTCGTCGTCTTCTGTAGAGGGAGCGTCTTTCTCTCTCCAGTTTACTCCTGCTCTTCTTCTTTCTTAGGGGAATATGCCTAGAACATGCTTCGGCTGCCAGGAAGTTGATCCTTTCAAGGCACTGGTTTGGATCCATGTCATTTAAGACATCTTCCCAACATGTATCATTTAGGACATGGTTTACCTGGTCCCAGTTGATGTTCTTGTTGTTGAAGTTGTATTTTGTGAAGACACCTTCACAGGTACATGCATTCTGATCAGGACCTCTATGCATGTACGTCTGGACTTCGATTAGGTCTTGCCCTCCTGCCATCCACACAACCCTCCCGTGTCACCACCACTGTCTTGCCCTCCTGCCATCCACACAACCCTCCCGTGTCACCACCACTGTCTTGCCCTCCTGCCACCCACACAACCCTCCCGTGTCACCACCACTGTCTTGCCCTCCTGCCATCCACACAACCCTCTTCTCCCACTCAGTTGGAACCACTCACTCGCTTCCCCACAACTAGTTTGGTAGTTTCTGACTATCATTAACACTGCATATCTACATTACATTATGTTATGTTTTCGCCCACCATGAGGCAGACCAAAGCAGCATGGGTTCGACTCCTTGGCTAGTCGCAGTGTTGTTATATATATATATATATGTTATATATATGTTATATATATATATATATATATATATATATATATATATATATATATGTGTGTGTGTGTGTGTGTGTGTGTGTGTGTATATATGTGTGGTGTGTGTGTGTGTGTGTGTGTGTATACTCAGCTCCTGGCCTCCTTATCCTCATATCAGACATAAACAGAGATGTACACCACAGCACCGTATCATCCTTTGCGGATGATACTAGGATCTGCATGAGGCTGTCATCTGCTGAGGACGCGGTTAACCTCCAGGGAAGATATAAACAAAGTTTTCCAGTGGGCAACTGTAAACAATATGATGTTCAATGAGGACAAATTCCAACTACTCCGTTATGGAAAACTGGAGGAGATAATAACTAGAACAGAGTATACTACTGACTCCGGCCATACAATAGAGCGGAAAAATAATGTAAGGGACCTGGGAGTAGTAATGTCTGAGGATCTCACTTCCAAGGATCACAACAGTGCCACGATCGCACGTGCAAAGAAAATGATAGGATGGATAATGAGAACTTTCAAAACGAGAGATGCCAAGCCCATGATGATCCTTTTCAAATCACTTGTTCTCTCTAGGCTGGAATACTGCTGTACATTAACATCTCCATTCAAAGCAGGTGAAATCGCAGATCTAGAGAGTGTACAGAGATCCTTTACTGCACGTATAAGTTCTGTCAAGCACCTTAACTACTGGGAACGCTTGGAAACACTTGACTTGTACTCGTTGGAACGCAGGAGGGAGAGTCATATCATAATCTACACTTGGACAATCTTGGAAGGAATGGTCCCAAATCTGCACACAGAAATCACTCCCTACGAAAGTAAAAGACTGGGCAGGCGATGCAAAATGCCCCCAATAAAAGTAGGGGCGCCATTGGTACACTAAGGGAAAACACCATAAGTGTCCGGGGCCCAAAACTGTTCAACAGCCTCCCATCAAGCATTAGGGGAATTGCCAATAAACCCCTGGCTGCCTTCAAGAGAGAGCTGGACAGATACCTAAAGTCAATGCCGGATCAGCCGGGCTGTGGATCGTACGTTGGACTGCGTGCGGCCAGCAGTAACAGCCTAGTTGATCAGGCCCTGATCCATCGGGAGGCCTGGTCATGGACCGGGCCGCGGGGGCGTTGATCCCCGGAATAACCTCCAGGTAACCTCCAGGTAACCAGGTAACCTCTTCACTGAGTGCTACTAGGTCCTCTCTCTCTCTGCTCCATGAGCTTTATCATACCTCATCTTAAAGCTGTGTATGGTTCCTGCCTCCACTACCTCACTTACTAGGCTATTCCACTTCCTGACTACTCTATGACTGAAGAAATACTTCCTAACATCCCTTTGACTCATCTGGGTCTTCAACTTCCAATTGTGACCCCTTGTTTCTGTGTCCCCTCTTCGGAACATTCTGTCTCTGTCCACCTTGTCTATTCCACGCAGTATTTTGTATGTCGTTATCATGTGTGTGTGTGTTTGTGTGTTTTGTGTGTGTGTGTGTGTGTGTGTGTGTGTGTGTGTGTGTGTGTGTGTGTGTGTGTGTGTGTGTGTGTGTGTGTGTGTGTATAATGGTAGAGAAAGAGGCGCTGGGTTTAGTTATTGCTTCAGAAAATGCCCTGGGCCTTGCGTATACAGAATTTTGCCTTTAAGATCTCCCATATTAAACTTCAAACGCCCTCTTAGATACCTTGTGT